GCCCTTAAGGCATCTTTCTAGCTCCTTTCAAGAAATTTCATTTTTTGGCCAAAATTGAAAAAAATGTAAGGGGTTAGCCTTACATTTTTAGTCAAAATCGGCCAAAATTTACTTTTCTCAAAAGGAGGCAGAAATTCATCTGGATGCAAGAGGATCATCAATCAATACTCTAACAAACATAATTTGGAAGATTTGGGCAAAAATCATCAATTTTTGGAGAAAAAAATAAATAATTTTTGAGCGATTTGACCTTATTTTTTTGACGGAATTTCCCCTTTAATAGCACATCTGTCCAGTAATCGATTCAAAATGGGTTCTAGGGCCCTTAAGGCATCTTTCTAGCAATTTTCAAGAAATTTCATTTTTTGGCCAAAATTGAAAAAAATGTAAGGGGTTAGCCTTACATTTTTAGTCAAAATCGGCCAAAATTGACTTTTCTCAAAACAAAGCAGAAATTCATCTGGAAGCAAGAGGAACATCAATCAATACTCTAACACGCATAATTTGGTAGATTTGTGTAAAAATCATCAAATTTTTGGAGAAAAAATAAATATTTTTTGAGCGATTTGACCTTAATTTTTCGACGGTATTTCCCCTTGAATAGTACATCTGTCCAGCAATCGATTTGGAATGCGTTCTAGGGCCCTTAAGGCATCTTTCTAGCACCTTTCAAGAAATTTCAATTTTTGGCCAAAATTGAAAAAAATGTAAGGGGTTAGCCTTACATTTTTAGTCAAAATCGGCCAAAAATTGACTTTTCTCAAAAGGAGGCAGAAATTCATCTGGATGCAAGAGGATCATCAATCAATACTCTAACACGCATAATTTGGAAGATTTGGGTAAAAATCATCAATTTTTGGAGAAAAAATAAATATTTTTTGAGCTATTAGACCTTAATTTTTCGACGGTATTTCCCCTTGAATAGTACATCTGTCCAGCAATCGATTTGGAATGCGTTCTAGGGCCCTTAAGGCATCTTTCTAGCACCTTTCAAGAAATTTCATTTTTTTTGGCCAAAATTGAAAAAAATGTAAGGGGTTAGCCTTACATTTTTAGTCAAAATCGGCCAAAAATTGACTTTTCTCAAAAGGAGGCAGAAATTCATCTGGATGCAAGAGGATCATCAATCAATACTCTAACAAACATAATTTGGAAGATTTGGGCAAAAATCTTCAATTTTTGGAGAAAAAAATAAATAATTTTTGAGCGATTTGACCTTAATTTTTCGACGGAATTTCCCCTTTAATAGCACATCTGTCCAGCAATCGATTCAAAATGGGTTCTAGGGCCCTTAAGGCATCTTTCTAGCAATTTTCAAGAAATTTCATTTGTTGGCCAAAATTGAAAAAAATGTAAGGGGTTAGCCTTACATTTTTAGTCAAAATCGGCCAAAAATTGACTTTTCTCAAAACAAAGCAGAAATTCATCTGGAAGCAAGAGGAACATCAATCAATACTCTAACAAGCATAATTTGGAAGATTTGGGCAAAATCATCAATTTTTGGAGAAAAAATAAATATTTTTTGAGTTTTTGAATTTTTTGAATTTTTTAATTTTTCGACAATATTTCCCCTTGAATAATACATCTGTCCAGCAATCGATTCAAAATGGGTTCTAGGGCCCTGAAGGCATCTTTCTAGCAATTTTCAAGAAATTTAATTTTTTGGCCAAAATTGAAAAAAAATGTAAGGGGTTAGCCTTACATTTTTAGTCAAAATCGGCCAAAAATTGACTTTTCTCAAAACAACGCAGAAATTCATCTGGAAGCAAGAGGAACATCTATCAATACTCTAACAAGCATAGTTTGGAAGATTTGGGCAAAAATCATCAATTTTTGGAGAAAAAATTAATATTTTTTGAGCGATTAGACCTTAATTTTTCGACGGTATTTCCCCTTGAATAGTACATCTGTCCAGCAATCGGTTTGGAATGCGTTCTAGGGCCCTTAAGGCATCTTTCTAGCAACTTTCAAGAAATTTCATTTTTTGGCCAAAATTGAAAAAAATGTAAGGGGTTAGCCTTACATTTTTAGTCAAAATCGGCCAAAAATTGACTTTTCTCAAAAGGAGGCAGAAATTCATCTGGATGCAAGAGGATCATCAATCAATACTCTAACAAACATAATTTGGAAGATTTGGGCAAAATCATCAATTTTTGGAGAAAAAATAAATATTTTTTGAGTTTTTGAATTTTTTGAATTTTTTAATTTTTCGACAATATTTCCCCTTGAATAATACATCTGTCCAGCAATCGATTTGGAATGCGTTCTAGGGCCCTTAAGGCATCTTTCTAGCAATTTTCAAGAAATTTCATTTTTTGGCCAAAATTGAAAAAAATGTAAGGGGTTAGCCTTACATTTTTAGTCAAAATCGGCCAAAAATTGACTTTTCTCAAAACAAAGCAGAAATTCATCTGGAAGCAAGAGGAACATCAATCAATACTCTAACAAGCATAATTTGGAAGATTTGGGCAAAATCATCAATTTTTGGAGAAAAAATAAATATTTTTTGAGTTTTTGAATTTTTTGAATTTTTTAATTTTTCGACAATATTTCCCCTTGAATAATACATCTGTCCAGCAATCGATTTGGAATGCGTTCTAGGGCCCTTAAGGCATCTTTCTAGCAATTTTCAAGAAATTTCATTTTTTGGCCAAAATTGAAAAAAATGTAAGGGGTTAGCCTTACATTTTTAGTCAAAATCGGCCAAAAATTGACTTTTCTCAAAACAAAGCAGAAATTCATCTGGAAGCAAGAGGAACATCAATCAATACTCTAACAAGCATAATTTGGAAGATTTGGGCAAAATCATCAATTTTTGGAGAAAAAATAAATATTTTTTGAGTTTTTGAATTTTTTGAATTTTTTAATTTTTCGACAATATTTCCCCTTGAATAATACATCTGTCCAGCAATCGATTTGGAATGCGTTCTAGGGCCCTTAAGGCATCTTTCTAGCACCTTTCCAGAAATTTCATTTTTTTGCCATAATTGAAAAAATGTAAGGGGTTAGCCTTACTTTTTTAGTCAAAATCGGCCAAAAATTGACTTTTCTCAAAACAAAGCAGAAATTCATCTGGAAGCAAGAGGAACATCAATCAATACTCTAACACGCATAATTTGGAAGATTTGGGTAACAATCATCAATTTTTGGAGAAAAAATAAATATTTTTTGAGCGATTTGACTTTAATTTTTCGACGGTATTTCCCCTTGAATAGTACATCTGTCAAGCAATCGATTTGGAATGCGTTCTAGGGCCCTTAAGGCATCTTTCTAGCACCTTTCAAGAAATTTCATTTTTTGACCAAAATTGAAAAAAATGTAAGGGGTTAGCCTTACATTTTTAGTCAAAATCGGCCAAAAATTGACTTTTCTCAAAAGGAGGCAGAAATTCATCTGGATGCAAGAGGATCATCAATCAATACTCTTACAAACATAATTTGGAAGATTTGGCCAAAAATCATCAATTTTTGGAGAAAAAAATAAATAATTTTTGAGCGATTTGACCTTAATTTTTCGACGGAATTTCCCCTTTAATAGCACATCTGTCCAGCAATCGATTCAAAATGGGTTCTAGGGCCCTTAAGGCATCTTTCTAGCAATTTTCAAGAAATTTAATTTTTTGGCCAAAATTGAAAAAAAATGTAAGGGGTTAGCCTTACATTTTTAGTCAAAATCGGCCAAAAATTGACTTTTCTCAAAACAAAGCAGAAATTCATCTGGGTGCAAGAGGAACATCAATCAATACTCTAACAAGCATAATTTGGAAGATTTGGGCAAAAATCATCAATTTTTGGAGAAAAAATAAAAAAAATTTGAGTTTTTGAATTTTTTGAATTTTTTAATTTTTCGACAATATTTCCCCTTGAATAATACATCTGTCCAGCAATCGATTCAAAATGGGTTCTAGGGCCCTGAAGGCATCTTTCTAGCAATTTTCAAGAAATTTAATTTTTTGGCCAAAATTGAAAAAAAATGTAAGGGGTTAGCCTTACATTTTTAGTCAAAATCGGCCAAAAATTGACTTTTCTCAAAACAAAGCAGAAATTCATCTGGAAGCAAGAGGAACATCAATCAATACTCTAACACGCATAGTTTGGAAGATTTGGGCAAAAATCATCAATTTTTGGAGAAAAAATTAATATTTTTTGAGCGATTAGACCTTAATTTTTCGACGGTATTTCCCCTTGAATAGTACATCTGTCCAGCAATCGGTTTGGAATGCGTTCTAGGGCCCTTAAGGCATCTTTCTAGCAACTTTCAAGAAATTTCATTTTTTGGCCAAAATTGAAAAAAATGTAAGGGGTTAGCCTTACATTTTTAGTCAAAATCGGCCAAAAATTGACTTTTCTCAAAACAAAGCAGAAATTCATCTGGAAGCAAGAGGAACATCAATCAATACTCTAACAAACATAATTTGGAAGATTTGGGCAAAAATCATCAATTTTTGGAGAAAAAAATAAATAATTTTTGAGCGATTTGACCTTAATTTTTCGACGGTATTTCCCCTTTAATAGCACATCTGTCCAGCAATCGATTGAAAATGGGTTCTAGAGACCTGCAGGCATCTTTCTAGCAACTTTCAAGAAATTTCATTTTGTGGCCGCAATTGAAAAAAATGTAAGGGGTTAGCCTTACATTTTTAGTCAAAATCGGCAAAAAATTGACTTTTCTCAAAACAAGGCAGAAATTCATCTGGATGCAAGAGGAACATCATGTTGGTTCCTTTAGCATGAAATGTTCCAAGCCATCTATTTTCATTTCACGGTACATTTATCAATTTTCAAAAGTTGATGTGAATGAATTTCATCAGACGATGTTGAGTGTAACTTGGGACACCTGCATTGTTTTCACAACTTCAAAAGTTGCGAGTCATGATTTGATTCAATAAACCATTTAAAGAAATGAATGAATTATGACGTGGCCCTACGTTAATCCTATTTGTTAAGGGAAGGTCAGTTATTTGTTGGGAGTGAACAAAACAAGCATACCATCCAAGTAACTTAAGAGGGATAAGAAGTTTTTATTCTTTTTTATTATTATTGCGATAACAAAGTTTGCACATTTTGGTTCTTTAACATTATATCAATATTAAGCATACACATCTCTCCACAGCCGCATGGTTAAAAACTTGAAATAAACAGTCGGTGCAAGTATTGCATTATTAATTCTCACAAAATGCCCGGAATGTCAAGCCGTGTCAAGTCTAAAAATTTGATTGTACAACACACAGTATTCACTTAGTGCACACTGACCTCTCTATACTAACAGGACTGTCGGCTACATATGAACTGAGTTTGAATTAAATTGAATAATGTACCTTGACGCCACCAATCAGCCACCATACTGCGCATGCGTCATGGTTAAGCCAAGATGGCTGCGGCTGCTTCAAGGGTGCAGTGCACTAATTCAAGTGAGAACTTCTACGCAAGCTCGTTAGTAGGGCCTCACAACCTCTTTTGAAAATGGAGACCGTTTGGCTTTTGAACAATGCAATGGTGTAAATATAGCCAAGGACCAACTCCCTTGTTTTGGGGCTTCCATTTGAGGGCAGGCTTGATGAAATTACGGTTGAAAAATGGGTCCGATTTGCCTGATAAAGTGGAAGGATGCCACTTGTAAAATGGCTACATGCAGGCTTGGGTACTCACATTTTGGAAGGTGATTCTGTTTTGGTGTGAAAATTTAAAAATGTAATAGGCTATTCTACCCAAAATTGAAAAAAAAGAAGAAAAAAAAGATGGAGGACAAGACAATAAGTTCATTTTGTTTGAGATACCCCAGTGATGTCGGCTTGCATGTTATTTAGCCCTGAACTGTACACTGTTTTCAATGGGTCCTGAATTAGTTCAGTGCACCCTCAATGCGCGCGCATCGTCAGCCATTCCAGTAAGTACACTGAGGCAGTAACAGTGCAGCATGTACTCCATGGGCGGACTACAGACGCAATGTGTTTTCTGTCGGACCTCAAGCTTCTTTTCAACAGTTTTTAATCGTAAAAAAGCCAGTGAACACAGGCTATGAAATCTCGCGGTATCTCTTTCCCCTGAATGAAAAATTAAAAAATTCTGGTGGTGCATGTGTCCAATAGACAATTGGGTTACGTTGATTTAAATGGGAAAAATCCCGATGGCCGCAATAGTCTTAGTATACTATAGGGCAAACTAGCTAGCGCTGCAAAAAGGCAAATCTCCAAATTAGCACGACTGTAGAAGTTTAGGGTTGGTCTATGTTCTGGGGTTATTCAAAAATGAATAACGCACATGTTACAAAAATGACAAGTGATATTTTGCCTTACAATGACCATGAACAAAAAAAATCGGTTTAAGCAAAAACTAAATGTACCATTGGATAGTTAGTGCGTTCTCATAGGCGCACACAGATGAAACTGAGAACATGCATATATTCATCGTCAATAATTATAGAATTGAGATGATTGAATAATCGTATAAAATGAAGCTATCTTACTTTCCCCTCAAAACTGTACCTTCAGTGACTCTGTTTTTAGTTGTACTTATTTACCATGATTGTGGAAGTTATGGCGGATTATTTAATCAACACTCTGTTGTTTAGAGTTTTTTTGTGTATTTATGTCATAATTGTTGTTGTATAAGCATACTTTTGATACCATTTCGTTTTAGATGAACGATACATTTGTCAAAAATTATTTTTTCTCAAAAAATAATAAATATGCATAAACTGTATGATTGTTGCTCTAAGGCTTAATAAATGTAAATATTAGCTCTGTTTAATACAAACTTTATGACAATTCTTACATCTACAATACATAATGATTATCTACTATCATGCCAATTAATTTGTTAAACAATGAGAATAAATCAGGCAGGATCCACACGGAAACAAATAATTTACGAACAAATGACGCCTTAAGTACATGTCGAAGATAATCATCTTCTTTTCTTGACATCAAAACGGCGATTTATCATAAACATGTTCAATAAGCGTGATGCCTTGCTGATGTGCATAAACGATAGCTGCCACAGGACAAAATTTCGAAAGACAAAAATAAATAGCGAAGTGGCAAGCAGGTGACATATTGTAAAAAGACATTATCAAAATGTTCACCAGTGTTTAAAAACAACATTATTTGAACCGTCTTCCACATGATATTGCACGAACTTTAGCATTCATAAATATTCATAACATTGCACATTGAACATCACGTTTGAGGGTTTCTACATTTTGACTATTAAATAACTGAACAAATTTGATATGTTATCTTCCAATACATAGGACTGCACTTAAATTAACCTTAAAAAAAATTCGTGGAAATGGAATGTATATAATCTACTAACCTCCTTAGTATTTCCCCTGGATAAATAGCTTGGGTGCATTGCGAACATTTCACGGAATACGACATTTACTTTTGGGGAACTCCGTAACATGTATACATAATGTATGTTCTTTATTAGCTGACAATTAATACTAAGAGTTAGACGTCATGTGACATTCACCTTCCAAAAAATTACTAAATCTGAAAGCGCCCTCTTGTGAAACGCGGTCTTCCGCAAGAAAGCCCGCCCTCCTTTGTTCAGCAATGTACAACTTCCCGTCTTCCAATTTTGAAAAAATAGATATAGACACCGAACAATTTCAAACAATCTATACATCCGCTTCTGTCCATATCCACACAGCACATTTGTCGTTCTTGGAACGACTCTTGTCTTTTCCAATTTAAAACCGAAAAAAAATACAACCAGCATACTCGATGGGTCATTTACAAAACAAAAATGCTTAGTAAATTGATATACGACAACATTATTTGTATGCATAATTTGTCGTGGTTTCTTGTCTCCTGTTTGTTTGGTTGTGTTCACTCATCTCCAGTGAACCCTTTCAGCACGCGGCTGGGCTTGGGGCGACACTCAAGAGGAACCATACCAATTCGACACCATCACACGACATACCTAAGCCTGCAAAAATGGCGGGAGAATACAAAGTTATAAGGTTTTGTCAGTGCGTCTCTCGTTGTTGGAAGAATGAAGAATGGCGTGACAATGAACACGACCAAGTGCAAACTTTAATGAAATCATTATTCATAGAGGTTTGGAAGAGATAGAGTTGCCACAACAACTTGTCTCTTCTTGATTCAAAATGGTGTAAGTTATATTATGATTTGTTCATTTTGTTTTCGATCTCCTTTTTGTTAAGGTTCTATAAGGTTCATGGACGTTGTATGTTTTCTAACACTGGGAATAGCCTGGCGGTAACATCACTTTGAATGCTTTGGTAAGACATTTAGGGAGTTATATTTTGAAAACAAGGGGGCACACTCGTCAACTCTTTTCTAACGCGGAAGCGTCAACCTCGTGTCCACGGCATGGAGCAGTTCGGTCGCACCAGCTGCTAGTACAGACTCTGAGAACGAGGGAGCGGAACACCGGCCGCCATTTTTTGAGTGGCCATAACAAAATGATGATATACCCGGATGTGCCCGCCATGCAGTAAACACATTCATTGGCAATTCCACATTTTAACAAATTTGGTTTATAACTTATTTTTATTAAAATCGCCAATCATTAATATTTTCTAAAAAGGGAATAAATACGAACAATGATGTTCCGTGTTTCCAAATGCACTCTGTCGCACAGGTGCGCCCTCTATTTTGTTTTTATCATAATCCTATTATGGGATAAGTGTGGAAGTCTAACATTAAGTGGTCTTCGGAAGTTTATGATCATGGGCTTACAAAAACAATAATTACCTTAAACTTCTACCATGTAATTGAGTATGCAAGGGTCGGCACAGATGGGTGGGGACTCGATATCTGGGATTCTGTTGTTTCGCGCCACTAGCCAGAAGTATTTGGCGCGCTGTCGGCAGCCCGTGTCGTCTTCATCGCAGCGGGCCAACATCTCAGCTTTGTAAAGCTCGTCACACAGCGTGCTGCCCACGTCGTAATACTCGCCCTGTGGATTAAGACATCACGAGCCTTAATGATGTAGAATGATGGTAGAATGGAGGTAGAGTGATGGCACGTATGATCATTTGCTTTCCATGCATTTGTTTTTCTCGTTTCCATTAATAACACCACTCAAAATCCAAAAGACAAATTCAAACATAACCTGTTGAAGTTTTAGCTCAGTGCAGAAATTTCACTTTTCGAGAAACAAAAGTGAAGAAAACAAACAAACATGCACAGCCTTTTGATCACAAAACACGATTTCGTCAATAGAGCTTTCGTTATTTTCAGTAGTCTGTCAGTTGACTGATCATTGGAAATCACCTCATCTCCTGATTTCCTATCTTTAATGTTAACCAGGGGTTATTGCGAGGTGTGATTAAGGAGAAAATATGAATAATGATGTCAATAATAATTATGCTTAAAATGCTACTGACTCTCCTGTACTTCAGGAGTGTACAATACATAAAGCAGACTCGGGAACATGTCTAAAACGGCCATCTTGTGAATACGACAAAGTCAGGCATTTTTTAAACCACGGCTTCGCTTTCAGGGGCGGCTTTAACTCTTACTCAATAATTGTCCAGTGAGAATAAAATAATGTCCAACCAAATGGAGATAATTATATAAGGTTGAACATCACAACAAGAGGTTTCGATACTTATACAGCAGAACAAGGACTGATATTCAGATGAGGGTTCTTAGGGTTCTTAGCGGGAGTAAAAATCTCTCAGACGCCGACGCTGTAGACGAAGTCGAGATTTGACAAATCTCGTCACACTTACGCAAGCATAGCATAGCTGATGGCGATTGCAGGCACCGGCGAATAGATCCATATATCCATCCTCGCCCAGGTCGCCGTAGTTATTAACTATGTTACAGTCATCGATAAAATATTGCAGTGACGAGCACTCATCTCCATCTAACAAAAAAAAGGAGACGAAAATGGGAGAAGGGAGCGATAAGATAAAATTTTCTTCAACCCTATCAGGACTGAGAGGCACAATGTTAATGTGCCCACAAGAAATTCTTGTATGCTATGGCCAATCGGCATGAAATGTGAGGACAAATTCTGTAGGATCATGTTCAGAATTTCCATGGCAACCATTTGGAAAAACAAGTTATCTAAAGATTTGGTCATTTTGTAAAACATATGCGGGTTTTTTGCGAGTCAAAGGCCTTTTGAAAATAGTTTCATTATGATTTCCGCACATCGTTTTGTTCAAATACCCAAATTTCTCACATTGTCTTCGAATTATAAGCCCGAGTACTCGCACCACACAGCCCATTTTTACTGGTTTTATTTCGACAACACCGCATTAACATTTCAGAATACTCGCTGCATTCTCAAAGCATGAATCAAACTCCTGCACGTAGACAACTCCCGAAGCCATGATGACGTAATCCCTGAAATCGTACGTGTACAACCCAATCCTCGTCAAGTTTTACCTCCAAGAGCTCCTTGCATCATTCGCATCTTGATGGATTAGCCTTGTCCAATCATTTTCTCATCAACGGCACTGACCGACCACCTGCCAAACCGTGACTCAATTAACCTCGGAAAAGCGAGGAAAACATGCTGCTTTTTTTTTGTTTTTTGGGTGGCTCATACAGACTTTTGCCATATATTCATCGTATTGCCTCTGTCATCAGTATATGTTCCCTGTCTCGTGTCTGCTTACCATTGTAATGTCTTTGTTTGTCTGTTTGTTGGTTTTTTGTTTGTTTGTTTGTTCGTCCTGTGTTGTTTCTGTCGGCTGTTTTCCACAAGCTTCTGCTTATTAAAACAGCCCCATGCTCTATTTGCTTCTTTTATTTTGCTGTTAATTTGATATTTACTGCTTTATTGTTTAACCCTTTTCTCTAAAGTTTGTATATATATATATATATATTTTTCTCTTCATGAAGCATGGAAATAAATGTGAAGTTGAATTGAATTGAATCGAATAGCCTTACTACAGTCAACTTTTTTTTCATCAAACATGTATTTTCTTCTTCAATTCTACAAGAGCCGGAAAAAAGGAAAGAACCGCCCACTGATTGTTTGTTTTTCTGATTTCACAATTTTAAGACCTTAAGACGTTTTTCTGGATGATTTTCTTTATCAGAATTTGTACCAGCAGTTGCTATTATTGACTCACCTTCTGACCCCTCTGACGTCACTTCCTGGCTGCCCTCCTCCGTGTTAGCCGCACCCTCGAAGTATCCATCCCCCTCCTCGTCTGTTGACTCTACCCCCTCCCCTTCTATCACCCCCTCTGCCTCCTTCTCCGCCTCCTCGTCTATTTCTTGAAGGATGTCGTCCGCAACGTCTTCGATCGCCTGGTCGATCTCATTTTCTAGGAATTCCACCAGCTCATTGTACACTGTAACAACACCCAGAGAAAATTCTCTGATGAAATCTCCAAAAATAAACGAACTGCCTTTGAACTTTGCCACCAAACAAAATATGTTTAGATGCCATTCAGTCTCGTTTAGCAATGAAGAACAGAGGGCGAATTCAAGCTTAGGTTGCCTCGATTTTATAAAAACGGATCCACGTTTTTGAATGCAAACTGATTAACTTTCATGCGAGCAAAACACCAAAGATATCATGTTTTTTCCCCAATGGGGACTGGAAAAGATCTACCAACAACTGTATTATTGTATGCCAACTTCTATTCTTGGGCTGAATACTGTTGGAAACCCGTTGTGGTTATTTTAGTTCAATCGCAGCCATCACTGGAGGGCGCTCTACCCCTTGCTTGCTTGTAGGGTCCAGAACCCCCAAAATATAATAGCGTGTGCCACTAGGTATAGCGAGAAACAATGGTTAACTCTCCCACCTTCCTGCTCGACATCCTCTTCCGATCCCCCATCTCCCATCCCTGCATCCAGTACTGAAGACGTCTGGATGTCCTCATCTTCCTCAAACTCTCCTTCATCGTCTTCTGCAGCCTCACCTTCTTCCTGCATCTCCTCCTGAATCGCCTCTTTCGCAAGAGACCCGATCACACTTTCTAAGATGCGCCTTGCCCTGATCGCCTTTCTTCTCTCCTCCTCTAAAAAGATTTTAAAATTAGAGAAAATCCAAAAAAGGTTTTACAAGTGATTTGCGATGGACGTATACGTCATGCAGGCGTACGCGTGTTTACATCTAGATATGGTTTAATGACTGACACTTCTTCAAATTATTTGTTTGACAACTCATTTATAATATACTTCACTGCTAGGAACAAGTTAACGTATGAGGTTTAAAGTGACTGCCGCGTCATATACAAACAAAACGGGGTTTCAACATTTTTCTCCTAAGATGCAGGACATTATGACTTCCTCTAACCCAGACAAATGAAAAACAAAATTGTCAGTATTGCAATCCAAAACACTATGTTATCGTCGTTTCAAGACGAGAGTGTACCTTTAAACTCGAACAACAGTGAGAAATGCATAGCTTAATTTGCTCCGTAGAATATTCATCATAAATGACATCGTTAATCAATAAAACAGGGTCAGTTCGACGAAAAATGTTTTATTGTGCTTTCAGCAGCAGGTAATTCGCGTGCGGCCTACTTCATGTAAAGGGCAGAGGCCAAACAGATCTATATCCCTAAATCTTTATTCTCCGATCCTCTTCCCCCGATACACTGGGCACTTAGCAAAGTTGATGCCGTGAATCTTTCGGTTTTGCTCCTCTTTAGTTTGCAGGCCAGTGCGTCACTCGCACAAAGTCAATATCGACATCTATTATGGCTCTCGCACACGCCGGACCGACACGACCCACTTTCCCACCGAATTTGTCGTTAACAATTCACCGGGCGATCATTTGATTTTGGCCGGCCGTAGCATGCTGGCCCGCCGATGTCTGCAGGGCGAGGCGCGCCTCATGGTACCCACGTACGCCCATCCGTACACCGACATACCACAGCGCGACCCCGAAATAAAACTTTCAAGATTTGTCACCTTTGTTTAAGCCCTGGCAGAAGCTTCTATTGTCATTTGGTGGTCGGTCTGTCGGTCTGACTGTCTATCTGTCTGTTCCCAAAAATGGACCAAAATAAGCCCCCTAAGTTTCCCATAAAATATAACTACCAAATTTTAATTAAAAAAAGCAAAACAATACATTACACACTTTACAAAAATTGTTTGTAATAAGTGTGCAAATGGAGGCAAAATAATATGTACAGTAATGTTATAGTCACGTGGTATTTATCACAAATCGCTATAAATCTAGATATAAATCTAAAGTATGGTGTTCCATATGTGCCATCGGAGTCGCATTTTTCGGCGTCGCATTTTTCAGCTCTGGCAGGGATCATTGTGATAGATTTTATGCAAGACTTTCATGCAAGACGGCCAGAGCTTATTGTGCACTCGCACTTGCTTTTAAAACGCAGCCATTGAGATTCATCGATTTTCAGCTAACAGGGTTTCGTTTACCCGGAATGACTGAATGAAAACTTGGCCGAGAAATGTAGCGTTCAGAAAGCGGCAGTATTGGCTTACCGTTCCCAATTATAATATATTGCCCGTTGAGTGTTTGGTTTTGCGAGATGGAAACGCAAAACTCCCTTCCGTTTTTTTCCACGCACCGGCGCATCGTTTATTATCTTGGGCTTTTTCGCTCGGTCACGTTTCGCGACAGCTACTTACACAATTTCCGGAAAGATTCATATTTACTTATCACAAATGGTTTTGAGTTCTAAAAGTTAAATGAAAGAGCTTCTTTTACGGACATGTTGTATGCTTTTACCAAACTCGCTAAATTATGACTTTTTTCTCGAATAATAATAATTCATTTATCGTTAGACTTGCGCCTGTTAAAATATGGCTATAGCTACAGCACCAGTAGTATTAATATTGATTGAACTTAATAAAACCACGCGGTGTACGTTAACTTAAAACTACAGCCTTTCCAGTGCATCCTCACCTTCATCTTCCATTTCTTGAAGCTCCAAGATCTCAGCTGCCTCTTCCAGCAGTTCTTCTTTCTCCTCATCATCCAGGGATTCTCCAACGAAGTCCCCTGCCTCTTCCGAGCCGCCCACCATCGAATACTCGGCCCCGTAGTCCGTAAAACCCTCGCCGAAGTTCTCCGAAGCCGACTGGTCGTCTGGCTCGGCAGCTGGGTAGTTCTCCGCCTCCGAGGAGAAGAACTCAGACTCGAATGGGTCTGAAAGATATAAGAGAACAACGATTATCTACCTTCCTGTGTTCATCAACCCAACACCAATTAAGACCTTTTTTCATGCTTTTAATTTCAAGGTTTCCCGCACAGGTTTAAAGTTTCTCTGGCCGGATTTCAAGAAATATACTAACTAAAATGTAAGAAGTTTCGGGATTTTAGAATTCAATATAAAAAAAAACACATTAGTTTTGATGAATACTTTCTGAAAAAAAATGTCCGCAAATTCTTTCATAAATCATATTGCTGACAATCCTACCAAAACAGTTGTTCATCGTATTATCTACCGATGCATCATCAGACTAAAATTCCCAGCTACAGCATCGGTCCACTCATGACGAACCCTACTTTCATATCAAAAATAAATTGAAATTGATGTATGACTTAACAACTCACCTTCTTCTTCTTCCGACTGTTCTTCCTCCCTTTGCAACCTCTCCTCCTCCTCAACCAGCAGCCATTTCAGATTCTTCTCGGCATCTTCCTGGAGGACCTCCTGTGCCCAGATGTCATCCAGGATGTCATTGGCCGCCACGTCCTCCATCTCCTGCTCCACAATGTCCGCGATCGCTTCCTGTTCTTCACGCTCCATCGCCTCCTCGTAGGCCTCCTCCACTGCCTCTTCTTCTGCTGCCTCTTCTTCTTCTTCTTCCTCCTCCTCCAGGAGCGCCTCTAGGAGCTCCTGGTCGTCCAGGTCCAAGGACAAATCTTCAGGTTCCTCCTCTTGTGGTGGATAGTCCTCTTGGTTCCCCTGTGCTTCCCGGAGCAGGTAGCTGGCCAACCAAGGTGGAATGTCTAGGGTATTGTCCGCTTCGTCTCCGTATAAAAGACCACCGCCGACGTCTTGGTCTCTGTTCCAGTCGTTCTGTTGTATACCTCGCTCGTACGACTCCAGGAAATCCAACGCCTGCAGTAGTTCTTCCCTCCTGGGGAACTGGTCCCGCGCTCGGTCTCTGCTGATGGTCTCATATCCGGCCGCGGACGGGAAGGAGACTATCCTCTGCGCGTCGGACGCTGTCGGGACGCCTCCCACAAGGCACATTGCCACGACTGGTAACGCGGCCAATATCATCCGGGACGCCGTCAATTCCATAGTGTACAGAATTCTACAGGCGTTACCGTGTTTCTCTCTGGATCTGCGGCAGAATAAAGACAATTCATTTAGACTTGCAGACGACAGAGCAAACAATGATGTGTGGCATTCCTGAAACTGTTTCTATAAGTCCGTACAACTTATTTCATTTGTCAATATGTACGTTGCTGATCCTGAGGTTGACCCTTTTCAGGGCACAGGAGGCAAAATTGTCGCAAAGACAAATTTAGGGGTTTTTGACATACATCCGCACTTCAGTTTTCGTCGTTTTATCACCTAAAATCAAACCCTAACCCTTACAGCTCAAAGACAAATTTTACGCTTTAAACATATTTATACGTACTATTTCGCCAGCTTAGATTGGTAGGTTGACTAATATGTTGAGATCTAAATCACTTCCAAGGTGTCAAGGAAGGAACAGACGTGACGTCCCAAGTAACCCAAATAGCCTGGAACTTAGTTTTCAAGAAAAGCCCAACTTCATTGGAATCGTGTACTCGCAAGATTAGATATCAAAGCAATAGATATGCAGTGTAAAGTCTTTAGAGTACGAGCAAGCATAATACTCTAAAGCTGTTTAATTATCCAACACGCGAAAACTGCGAGCGCTTTTCATCTCTCACGGTCAATTAGTCTTCTTTCAAGGAACACTGAGCGCTCATTTTGCCTCTTCCCATTGTCTGGCACAAGCACAATTACCAACAGCGCTTTCCTAATGGTGCCCGCATGATTACGAATCGAGCAAACAGCGGAAGCACACTTCCTCCACCGGCGGGCATAATTGCGCGCGCGGTGCGTACGCGCGCTGCTTTTCACGAAAGAAGGTGATGTACGGTTTCAAGGAGAGGTGTTGGCGTGGCGGAGACTTGTCAGCATGAATCAGGTAGTCGAGCGGGAAATTGGTTTGTCATTGTTGACTAATACTGCTGGGTAATGCAGTGGCGGGAAAAAAAGCGCGGGAAGATGTTCGCCAATGATGAGCTCAATTGCGTGATTGGGCTGTATGTAGCCTGTATAGTGCAGTTTTACCCCAATGCCCGAACGCACGAAGGAAATTTATGCTGATTTCGTTATTGTGTCTAAGGCTCAACTGTATTGAGAACCCTATTATTTGGGGCTTATTCTTTAAATATTGACATCAAAAGCTTTAAATTACGAACCACGTATTGATGTCTAATTAAGCTCTAGAATTACGCCATTTGACACCTAGTATCTATAAATACGGCCTTCCCAAATATATCATTTCAGTAATGCACATACGGTTAATCTTGATGATATTGTACCAGTCCTTCTCTCTATAGACCGTCGTTTTGTTTACAAACATCGAGCCATTATGCTTAAATTACATACTAGACTAGCAACAGATCTCGCCAGGAACGGCTCATTACACCCTTTCATTTTAATTCCTAGTTAACCGTTGTTATAGGAAATGGTGCATGATATTTTTCGAAGACTTTCTGTTTTGCAACGATGGCCGCTCATACTTGAATTGCCACCGACCGTGTGATGAACGCACGCAGCAAGAGAAAGGTGCTTTTCAAGCACGATTTTTTTTTTTGGATTTTTTTTTTAAGTCTTCAGTTAAAACCTGCAATTTCATTGAAGCATCGACCCGGTGACATTTAAGCCAGACGAGTCTAGACACCACATTACACAATTTGAACTCATACGTAAAAGACGACCACGAGAACCCCACATGCACTTTATGATGTCCTCAGATGCCATGATTGGTACATTTTGTTAAAGTCAGGTTGGCGTAGCGGTACTTTCCTCGCCTTCCACCGCTATGACCCGGGTTCGAATCCCGCCAGGGCCAATATGTGGATTGGGTTTTCAGTCCCTACCTGATTTCGTGGGCTTTCCTCAGAATATTCCTCTGGGCTTTTCCTCCCACCTCTAAAACTGTAATTTATCTTTATTGTCTTCTCTCTACAGGTTTTTTCAGGCTTTCGGGCTACAGTGCCTAGGGCACTTTTGAGTGATCCTTGGTTTCATTACCAGAATGAAAAAAATAAAATAATAAATAAAATTAAACATTATTACGAAGACATCGCAGTTATGAAAGCTCTGGCGTCGCGAATGATTTCAAAAGAAGTCGATTTCGTAAAGTAGTTGCACGTTGGAATGGAAAGTTCATTCAGATTAGGTACAATCTCATCATCAGTGCGTTCAAGTATAGCCGCTAGCAAGTATTATTTTATGCAACCAAGTATAGTCAATGACCATAATGCACATCCGTCAGTTGGTACGCAATGGTTATCGGACTTAACTTCCCTTTTAAACAAATCCTCCAAAGCCATGAATGATGAGAGGAAAAGGCTGAATTTCATTTTACCCATCATCAGGGGTTGATTTAACACAATTAGCCTAAGGGAACAAAATTCACTTTTGGGGAACAAACTGAAAATGTAAAATTCCCTCCAGGAATTCAATTACTGGAACCTCGAGGGTTCAGATCAGTGATTTAACGCACACACCACAGCGAAACCACGCTGACTGTCGACACTGTAAAAAGTTGGGCAACTGGGTTGATAATTCGACCAACGCTGGTCGAATTATCAACTTCCTACACTCGTGGGCAAATTCTTCCCAATAGTTTGACAGTTTTTACCCAATTCAACCCAATATGAGGTAATTTCATGCCAATGTCGGGTAAATTACATTGCCCAACAGTATTTTACCCAACGTTTTTACAGTGTATAAGCTATAAGAACTTATTCCAAATCAGGTGACACATTTAGTTGTTCACGTGATATGTTTCACGCATGCGCATTATGGTCATGGACTATAGTTGGTTGCATAAAAAAATAATTACTAGCCGGTAGCATTAGATAATCCTTCACCCCTATTGGATCATTTGCTAATAAAACTTGGAAACCTGTCATTAGCGTGGAACAGGCAAATGGGTACTACCAATGCATTCAACTGATAAAGTTCCAGATGACGTCACCTAAAGTATAAAATTTAAAAAAATGCTCAGTTGTAATGCACCAATCCATTACTTAAAATATTCATTAAGCAAAATTGGAAAAATGGAAAGTTGATGTTCAGGGGAATTTGGTGTGATCTTCATACATAACGCAAAAACTGGTTATAATAGGCATTAAAATCGAGGTAACCAATCTGAATATGGGTAATCTGTCTATACTCCCAGGGTCTACTGTTGACACCGCGGTCGAAATGAAGCAGACATTGGGAACGAGGTTGCGCTTGAGTGCCCTACTGTTTAAGACCTATGACGAATAACATGATGCAGTATAGTGTCTCTTCAGTTAATCATTGACTAAGGTCGATCACTGTTTGACGAACAGCGGCAGCTCCGTTAAAGTGACTCAAGGGCGGCGGTGAATCACCTGCAGAGCGTCTCCTGCATGCATGAAATAATGGCCGAAGGGGTGGCATTTTATTCCTTTGCAAGTCTGCGATTTCCACATTATTTTTACAGGTTTTTTTTGTCTGTACTGGAACTTTTTTTTTTTTTAAACAAAGGGATATTACAATGGCTTTTTCCCACGTGCTGCATTTCAATTCCTTGCCTGGTGCATGTTTCCCTCCAACCTATGTATGATCTGTCCTGTTTCAAAACGACACCGCTTTTTCACGAAGAGACACACATGTCAAAAATTACAATTCTTTTTCGATTTCGAGTGTTTTCAGTAAATGTCGCTTTAAAGCATTGTACTTAACCTGTTTTGAGACATGCTGCTGTACGCAAAAAATCTTTTGTCTTAATTACATTAGTGATGCAAGGGGCAGGCATGGTTGATGGATGATTTACCTAATTTAACAATTAAGATGCATATGAGCTCTGAAGGCATAGGTAAATTAACTGCTTCATATACTGCTCGTCCTCGTGAAATAAAACACCGTAAAATAAGAGAGCATTTATGCTTGTGCACTTACTATTGAAACGGGTCGATTCAGGTGCCTAATATTGTAATATACAGGTCCCTAGATCACACTGCAAAGTGTTCCATTTACACCGCGGTGTCAATTTAGCAATTTGCAGTATAAAGTCCAAGCATGTTGCACGTATGATACACCCGAAAAATGAGTATCTGAAGACGAAAGAGAAAATGGAAATCTGCTTTGTGTGTATGTTATTTTTTTATTGTTTTTCGTAAGAAGAGAGCAATTATAGGTAAAGCGTTATCGGCCACAGAAAGTGCGCTACCGTTTTAAGCCTGTTACCCGGTAAGCGCCTGCAACGCCACTTATCGTCTAATTCAAGGTTATACCACGAGGTTGAAATTTCGTAACGGCATTTGGGGCAACTCGGGGCTACATTTCGATTTAATGGAATAAAATCTTTCTTCTTTTTCAATCCAGCGGGTCCATTCGATTTTGGTCCGACGGTGTAAGGTCTGGCTAAACCCCAGACAAGCTAATTGAATATGCACGACGACCAGAAAATAACTGCCGGCCCTATACGCAACCAATGCATTGCGGTATTCATGAGTCGTATAGTCGGAAAGGCTGTGATTGTAGCCTATATACACGCAGTGCTCAAGAGGCAGTGGAAATCTAATAAAAGAGAAAAATTATGAAATATTTTTGGCAAAAAGGTAGTATACCAAGCTGATTTGAAGGTGAACGGAACCATGTCACGTCTACTTGGTTTATAAGAGCTCGTAGTTCAAAAGTCGGTATTTTTTGAAAATTATTTATTTCCTAGGGAAAAAATGGAGGTGTCGGTGAAATGGAAATCATTACAAAAACTGAATATGAAATTTCAGAATAGGATTTTGTCGCACTTGACTTTGTTAAAAACAGGTGTGATAAACAAATTTCACACGGCCTAAATTTGCCGGGTAAAATTCTCAGATAAATTTTACAAGATGCGCCTGGCAATACTGTTTAAGTTGCTGATAGTACTGTTATATTTCGAGGCCTCGGCTCGCAAGCACGTAACTTTAAAATTGCCCCGAGAAAGTAAAATAAAATAAAAAAGAATAGAGAAGATGAATTATCTTGTCAAGTCTCACTCCATAAATTCAGCCAGACGGGGCAAATCCTTACCTAAAATCCGCCAGTGGGAAATTA